ATTTAATAGCTATTTACGCAAAATTTATTAATATAACTGCTATTTTCATTTTAATTAACTAGGAGAATTTTGATTAGAAGAACTTTTTTTTTTTTTTAATGTTAAGGTGATCACTTTGGGTTCTGGCACGTTTTATTGAACTTTGATTTGAATGTTAGGACAATCTACATAGGCTACCATTGACTTTGTTACATTAACGAGGGTACAACTAGCTATATATACAACTTTTGGTTGTCTATTTAAGCAGTCTTATATACGTAACCCATATGAATTATACTAGCTGCCATACCTATAATCCAACTAAGAGAATTATCTATTTAAACCCTCTAATCAACTTAGTGCTGTCGGATATTCTCCTCAAAAAAAGACTGCCGATAAGGCCCTTTAAGACTTTAAAGCAAACACACACTGCCATATAGAGGGGTCCTTTATCCTCGTGATAAACCTGCTAGAGCCTTCTGTACCTACAAATCCAGCTGACCTAGACTTTTTTAGTAACTTACACCAAGTCTGAGAACAAGTACTTGCGAGCTGAAGCCACTACTATTACCTACTACTGCCTTTATAGAGTTTACCCAAACCTCAGCACCCATTATATGGACTATTACCTATATATCCGTTATCCCAAACTTCTAATCCAGATGGTCTGGAAGGGCTGTGACCTGCTCTTGGTCCCCACAGTTGGGTCCTTTTCCTTCAATTACTCTCTGGCGGTCAGGTTGGTGGAGTGCCTTGACAAATACTTCGGACCCGTTCAGTTTTTTGATTTTCTAGTAATAATTTTTTATATAGTACTGTTAAAGATCTGTGCTACCTCTCTACTCAGGTCTTGCCAAGTGGGCTCCTATGTGTACCGACTTTAGATTTATACAGCCGCTTCACTCAGATTTTGTGTAACTTGTACATTACACTATTGTTCTACAGCCTCTCAATACAGGCTGGTATGATCAGATTACAGATGTCAATCTGTTTATTTACACTTACAGTCTGCCGTAACACTTTCTGAAATTCGAACTCTGATTACTACCACTTGGAGGTATGACAACTTCACCACTATACTAAGTCAGCACACGCTTTAGAAGAACATTTTTTATTTAATATACAAAATCAATTAGCTTAGTAAAATTTTATATAAATTAAAATTTTTGAAAAGTGATAAAATTTTAAAATTTTTAATAATATTTAAATATTATTTAATTTGATTTAATCAAATCAAATCAAATTCAAATTAAGAATTTATTTGTTTCGATTAATATTCAATTTGATTTAATTCAACTTTGAGGAATACTAATTACTATAAACTTACATTCTGATTAGTTAAATAAGTTAATCAATATAAATCAATATTTTTGACTATATCAAAATATATTTTTGTTTATATTATATTAATATTTTTTTGGATTTTTGGTGTAATCATATAACTTTATATGATCTCAGATAATATAAAATTACACAAAAGTATTTTGAATTATACAAAAAAGTAATACAAGAAAGTAATACAAGTTCTCTCACACAAAGTCCTCAAGTTTTTTTTATATAAATACAAGTGTTTTAGCAAAATCTTCCAAGTTTTTTTTCTTCAAGTTTCTCCTTATAAACAATAAATAAAATATAAACAAATTGAGTAATATTTATATTTTTTCAACTTCACCTAGTACAATCCTTCAACTTCATTCAGCACAATCTCTTAACTTTTTCTACTAATGTTACTTATTCTCCAATATCCTCTTACATACCGTGTACCTTTTCTTAGACAGAAAAGATATATAAAAAGTACCTTTTCCCCTTTTTACCAATTCAACAAGTTTCTATACTTCACTTAGACTCTGTTTTCTTTATACACTTTTTGTAAATGTGATATTCATCTTCTAGAGTAATTTCTATAGGCAAAGTTTATCCTATATTTTTATATGAAATAAAATTATTCTATATATTCAAACCATTTGCCTTCTGCTATATAATTAAGTAAACAACTACACATTTACCCCATGTATATTTACAAAAATCAATCACTGCACTGGGTGACCTTGTTACTTGATTGTATTTTACTAAGAAGGCTACAACTCTGTAACAATATAAAAATGCATTGCATTATACTATAATTAATAACAATTTTCAATATTTAATTGTCTATTAGATTTTTCACTTCTAGCAAATTTCAGATATTTTTCTTTGTAGAAGAGTTATATTCTCTTTTCTTTGTAAGAGAGCTGTATATTCTTTGCTTTGTAAGAAAGTTAAATTAAATTTTAATAAAGACAGAGACATAGTCTCACCATTAATATTCAAATTTCAGATATTATTCAAATATTTTTTCTTTAGAAATATTTATTCCATCTTAATAACAAATTTCAATACTCAATTGTCTATTGAAATTTCTACTGTCAGTAGATTTCAAGTACCATTTAAATAACTTTTTCTTATCTTTAGAAACACCTATTCCATTTTAGTAGCAATTTTCAATTCTATTGAAATTTCTACCTTTTGCAGATTCCAAGTATATATTATTCAAATGCTTTTTTTTCCATGCCTGTTCCATTTTGGTAGTAATTTCAACATTTAACTGTCCATTGGAATTTTCACCTTTGGCAGCCTATGCCGTTTTTATAACAATTTCCAGTACTGAATTATTCGTTTAATCATCATCATGCTTTTCATTAATATTGCAAACCGAAGTTAATCTACATCTCTGTCTTTTATTTGGACTTAAACCTTTATTAAATTCTATCAACTCATTGTAATGAAGTTGGCAAAGTTGGTCGTTTAAACTAAGTTCTCTTAAATTTGAAATAGCGTGGCTTCGTATAGCCTTAGACAAGTGTTAATCTGCTAAACTTTATCTTTTGTGCCACATACTGCACATGAACCTGCATTTTTACGCGGATTAACCATTGACAATATCACTAGTAAAAGTTCTGAAGTGAATAGATCAGAAGGGGATCAGAGAAGCTAAAACCTTGTTGAACATAAGTGAAATATCAAATTATGTTTTATTTTTTTTGAAAAAAAGACGTACGTACGAAGTAAATTAACCAATCAGTATGAATTTCGCAATAATCACATGAAATGGATTTGGAGTCAAAAAACCGCCCCATATACAAAATTAGCCAATTAGAATGAAAGCATGATTTGCTGACCGAATATAAAGAGAGCTGTTTATTAACCGAACTTAAATTGCATAATAAAATGTCTCAGTATACAAATTCTTCTGGCGACATAGATCCCTTCGAAGCCCGGTTACATTTTAATTCTATACTTAAAAAAATAACTTCTAGCCAGCAAACTATCCAAACATGTACAACCTTTGCCCTTAGACATCACAAGTATTATGAAGATCTATACCGATGTATTATGGAAGTTATGGAAAATGCTACAATTATGACTAGAATGAATCTCTTTTATTTTCTGGACAGTCTTTGTGTAAAATCTAAAAAGGTTGAATTTAACAAATATATTGAATATATTCAGCGTGATTTGAAAAAGATCGTTGTTGATTACGTTTGTGAAAGGGAGGATGGGTGTTTCAATTTAGTTAATACTTTAAAAGTTCTAAGTAATTGGAAAGAAAAAAGCTATTTTGATGTCTCAGTTATTGAAAGTGCAGAACGCGTTCTATTAGACTGGAAGAAAGAGCCGAATTACCCTTCGAAATTAAAATTATCAAAGCATGATATTTTGAAAAGAATAGAAGAAGACCGAGAAAGGGCGAAACATCTTCGAGAAGATATTTGGTGGGTGGACAAAAGCATCCCGGATGGTGAAGCTCTTAGCTTATGGGAAGAATGTTCAGATCTAGACAAGAATGATTATTTGGAAATTTTGACAGAAAATTTCAAATACCAACCAGATTATCCGTGGCTAGATGTATATAAAAAGGTAAAATTATGGAACGAAGAACAAAAGCAATTAGAAGAAGAGGAATTGAAGGTGCGTCTTGAGGAGGAAGAACAGGCACGACAAAAACTTGAGGAAGAACTTAAAGCTCAACAAAAAATTGAGGAAGAAAGAGAGCGACAATTACTTGAAGAAGAAAGAGAGCGACAATTACTTGAAGAAGAAAGAGAACGACAATTACTTGAAGAAGAAAGAGAGCGACAATTACTTGAGGAAGAATTAAAGGCTCAACAAAAAATCGAGGAAGAAAAGGAGCGACAATCATGTGAGGAAGAAAAAACACAAGAAAGACTTGGAGAATTAAAGGAGAAGCAACAAATGGCAGAGGAAGAAGAGTTAAAAGAGGTGATTTCACGACCGCAAGAGGAATATAATATAACCAACATACATGTCGCAGAGTCCGATTATCATATTCATGGATCAGTAGGAACAAAAAGACAGCACTGTCTCGACGATATTCTCAATGATAATGCAAATGAGATCGAAAGAGTTTCTAAGAAAGCTCGCACGCAAGATTATCATGATGACGATCTCTTAGAAGTTTCTGCGAACAATTGCGACAATAAGAATCACTTCAATGTTAATGAAAATATAGATTATTTTTCTAGAAGCCAAGGAATCGATAGGAAGGGCCATATATCACAAGACGATAATGATAAACCGTTAGAACGAGAAATTGCTGACGATAATCAGCATAATCACTCAATAAACAATAATTTTGGTAAGAGTATAAATCCAATTTCAACGTATAGTATTATTGATAAAGGCGAAGAAAATTCTTTGGAAAACAAAAATGAGGATCATATAACTGAAATCCAAAGGTCAAGGATGCCGTTTGATCCCGTACGAGATGCCCAAAATGTTGATATGAACCAAGATGTGACATATTCATATATGACATCTAATACGGTGCCAGATGATGAAAATACTTACAATCAGCAATCATTATATTCTAGACCGGTTGAAACATTAGAAGTCAATAATAATGCAGAAACTTTGGTTAACGAAGCAATACAATCAGAAGAGTGTCACATTGAACAAATTGCAGGTTCTCATCTTAACCTTCTCATGCAAGCGGTGGGTCTTTTAGAAGCAGGGGTATCTTCGTTACCTGAAGATTTGTAGTAATATAAAAAATTTGTTCGTTATTACGTGACATTTTTGTCATGAGTTACGTGATAAACAATTGATCAATTAAAAATAAATTTATTTTATATTTATAAAAAAAATTAAACAGTTAATAAAATTAAGAAATATTGTAGAGCTATAGCACCAATGCTAATCTATATATAAGTACAAAATTGGTATAATATACAAATCAAATAATTTTTTTTATAAAAATAAAGTTTTTAATTAGAGTTAAAGGTTAAGGTTGGGCAAAATATAATCTATATTAAAATTTTATTAAAATTTTATAAAATTTTTTTATTGAATATAAAAAAAATACTGTGGTTTTTAGATAAAATTTAAAATATAACTAGCTTTTGAATTTATTTTATTTTATTTTTTTTAATTCGGCTTGCTGATTTCTTAGCTGTTCTGTCTTTGTTTATTGAGATCGAGGTACTCAAAAAATTACAAGAATTTTTCACTTAACTAAATTGGTCTATGAAAACAAAGAGCTCACTTGAGCAAACATTCAGATGTAATCTTTTCTAGTAGCTCTTGGCCTTTTTCCAGATCCTTAATTTACTAAGAACTTTTTTCTTTTTGGTCACTGGCTGATAGCTACAAATCCATTAACTATTATGCTAACTAACTGAATCTAGTCTAATAGAAGATCTAAGCTACAGGTTAAAAAAAAACAAAGAACAAAATATATATATACTATAGCCCAGTGTTGTTATAAGACAGTTGTAGACAGTAAGTTTAAACAATTTAAACAAATTTTGACAATTAAATAAATTAAAATTACTCAAAATCTTATTAAAATAATCTATATTATTTTCTAAGTAAAATATGTTCAACATCTAAAAAAATATATAATTTTATATTTTTTAAACAAATTTATTATTATTGTGGAAGCTGATATTGAAAATTTTTAGAACCTTTTTTGTAGTCTTTTTTTTCATAGTTAGGTTAGGGTTAGGAAGTAGTATTTATTAATAAAAAAGTATATATAAATTTTAGTAAATTTTATAGATTTAAAAAGAGATCCCAATTTTTAGCTCTAGTTAATTTTAGCATTAGCTTTTACAATTATTAAAGCTTAGACATGCTTTGGACATTTGTAGACACTTGAATACTTGGATGTTAGATAGTCAAAATATACATTACTGTTATAGCTCATATATAGGATTTAAAAATTATATAATATAACTATAAAATTAATATATATATTTTATATTATTGCTTTTGTTAATCCTTTTTATTAAATCTAAATTATATCCAAAGTATCAGATGAGAGACTCTATATTTTTTCATCATTATTAAATTCTGATTGTTCTTTTTATTAATTATTTCTGAAATATATTTTTTATATTTTATAAGATTAAATAATAGATCTTTCTAAAAATCTACTAATCATTATTAAAAGTTATTTTTTCAAGTCTGTCTCTAAAGATTTTTATTTCTAATAAATTATATTCAGATCAATTTGAGTTTTTTTTTGAATTTATTTCAACTTGTTTCTATCGATATAATTAATGATTATATGTTTTGTTGTATTTCTTTTTCATTATACACATCTAAGCCTTTTTTAATATAAAATAATAAACATTGCTAATATTTTAATAAAATAAACTAAAAGATAATAGCAAAAGATATTATTGAGTTTTGTAAGTTACTAACTAGTAAGTATTTTTTTGTTATTTATTTTATATTTTCATTTTTTCTATCTATATTTTTTATATACTTGTTATAAATATTCTATAGAATAGGTAGACAAACTTTGCAAACTCTAGTTGTGAAAGAGCAGCAGGTAATGTTTCTATAAAATTCTTTATTGCATCATACCATCCAAGCTATCAAATATCTTTCAATTTTTTTAGACATAATTTTGGACAATCAAGAATTTTTTGATATTCTTGAAAAATATGTATTCATAAAGCAGAATTTTTGTAAAATTTATATATATCTTTCATAATAGCTTCAGCTTCAACAAAACAATCAAGTTGTTTTTGTGTATCTTTACATGCTAAAGCTAAACAATATGCAATACAGTAATTATAAATTATATAGAAACATATTTGTGATAATTTTTGAGCAATGCTATTTTTATTATCAATCATAACTGATGCGCTATCAGATCAAAAGCTATAAGTTTATTCATAACTTCTATAAAAAAACAATATAATTTAGATATTTATTTAATAAAAAATAAAATTAGATATATATTTAGTATATATATTAAATATATATTTATCATAACTTTAAATAATCAGATTAATTTGATAGTAATTGTTGCTGTATCATATTTATTAAGTGCAAGCAATTGCAAAAAATGTGTTACTATTTGTCCTAAAATAGTTGAATATATTACATAAATCTCAAGATACTTATTCATAGTAATATCTAAACTTTCATCAATTATAATTCTAAAAAACATAGCTTCACTAATCTCTTTTCAAATTTTAGCCTTAATTGTGTCAGAAATAACAAATGCAAACTCATGTTCAGATACCTCATTTTTATATATTATTGAATCATCAGTAATATATGAAGACTCTAATTCCCATGATAATTAAACAAAATATAGAAGCTTTAATAATGGTACATTTTCTCTTATAAGAGAATATACAATTTTTAAAACACCAATTACATGTGTTTCACCTTTTTGCATAATTGTAGTTGATGTTTTATTTGCTGTTTCTTTAATTGTTTCAAGCTTTAATATATCTAAATATTGATCAAAACAGGTATGCTCCTTAACAGAGCTTTTTCAGCCAAAATTTATTGATCCTACCAAATAATATTTAAATAATTAAATAAAATATACTGTAATTAATAATATATTAATTTTATTATTTATCTGTATTACCAAAAATGTTTGGCTTTTTATGAAGTGCATATCGGTTGATTTGTAGAATTTTAAATTAAAGTGTATTTTTTTAAATTTTAATATCAAATAACTTTTTATAAATTAGTTCTCTTTAAGATGATTCTAACAAGTATAAAATTATCTAAATTGAATCACAAGATTATAAGATATTGTGCTGTTAAATAATGACACACCTCTCATAGGTTTAATAGTATTAAACCCATGAGGGGTGCGTCATTATTTGACAGCACAATATCTTATAATCCTGTGATTCAATTTAGATGATTTTACACTTGTTAGAATCATCTTAAAGAGAAGAATATTTTAATAGCAAAATTATTTTAAATAAACTAA